TTTTCTATTTTTATTTTTATACAGGCTATGTAGAACCAATGCAAACACTCAATGATGTATTAGCTCAGCTAGATGCTGTTGTCAGCTTTGCTCATGTGTCAAATGGAGCACCTGTTCCATATGTACGACCAGCCATTTTGGAGAAAGGACAAGGAAGAATTATATTGAAAGCATCCAGGCATGCTTGTGTTGAAGTTCAAGATGAAATCACGTTTATTCCTAATGATATATACTTTGAAAAAGATAAACAGATGTTCCACATCATTACTGGTAAAAAACCTGGTTTTTGGCCTTTGTGGGGGTAACATGTTTTTTGTTTGTTTGTTTGTTTGTTTTTTATGTTGGAGTAGAAATATATTTAAAATTGATGGAGAAAATTCCCAGTTCTTAACATGAGAAAGAGAACATATTATTCTTACCAGTTAGTAATCTATTCACATTTGGATTAGAGGAAAGATTTAGAAGGTGAGATAAAAGCTTATGAGAGAATAATGTATTCCTTGAAACTTGTTCCACAGGTTCAGAACATTTAGAAACAAACATCCCTTCACACTCAAAGCTTACCTTTGAGCCAGTCCTCCAATACTGAGGTCTTTGAAAGTCAGGCCGAATTGGCTATGGGAGGACCTCAGGTTAGGGTACGAATTATTTTAAAACATGGCGCTATATTCATGTGAAACTCGAAAAAACTAGCCTTGCATATAGACTCATGTATCATGTCTCCGCTGAGATGTTTGAGAGATCTTAACCAGATCTAGAAAACAAAAAAGGAAGTAGGAGTTTTGGGGCAAATATATTTGGGAAACGGTTGATTGTATTTTCTTTCCCCAAATGGATTTTCAAGTTGTTCATATAATATAACCCCAACAAATAAATCGCCTGTTTTTCAAAAGAAGAATCCTGTTTTCAGGTTTTTGTGTGGGTTTTAAGTGGTTCGAAAGATTTGACCATACTGATACACTCACTAGTAACCTCATTTACTAATGAGTAACGGTTTTGAGTTAATCAGTTAGGCCTGCACTACTTTTCTGGAAATCAATAAATTATCCCACAGGCAGCCTTGTGAGCCATGGGAAATGTGTATATGGTCTTTCTAGGCCAGAGTCAAATTACAGGTATATTTTTCATGGCTTCTCTTGATGAAAGGCCCAGTATCAGTTTGTCCGAAGAAATAATAGCATTGCTTTTGGGGGTAATATGGGCAGTAACTCTGTCCACATCTTTGGGCAGCCTGTGGTTCTGCTTTTGTATGCCACGTCAGTGTAAACCTACATGATTAGTCATCATCGTACAGCTTAGGACTAACATCCATTTATTAGTAGCAGAAAGAAATTTAAAATCTTGATTTCTGATATAATTTGTTTTGTAGGCCCCAATATGGGAGGTAAATCTACATATATTCGACAAACTGGGGTGATAGTACTCATGGCCCAAATTGGGTGTTTTGTGCCATGTGAGTCTGCAGAAGTGTCCATTGTGGACTGCATCTTGGCCCGGGTAGGGGCTGGGGACAGTCAGTTGAAAGGAGTCTCCACATTCATGGCTGAAATGTTGGAAACTGCTTCTATTCTCAGGTAAGTGCATCTCCTAGTCCCTTGAAGATAGAAATGTATGTCTCTGTCCTGTGAGAAGGAGAAGTATATTTGCAGATTCTCATGTAAAAACATCTGAGAATGTTTGTCTTAGTTTAATAGTTGTTTTCCTGTGGACTTTATATACTTTGTATTATCTTAAAAGAGTGATTGATGATAGCTATGGAAAACTTTGATTTTTAAAGTTGTCTCTTTAAGTAGACAATTTATAAGCTACTGGTACTAGCTCACCTTATAAATCTCCACTACCATGTTTTCACTTGCACTGTTCACACTTCCTGGAATGGTCCTTCTTGCCCTTTATCCAACTTCTTTCTAATTTTTAAGTCCCTGATGATGGAAATGCTACTTCTGTAGTGATTTTTCTCATCATACGACCCTAAGGTCATGGGTGTTTTTCTCTGAATTCCTCTTTGAGATGCCTGTAACTTAAACCACATTTTTATTTTAGACATTACTGAAATGTTTTGTCTTTATTTCACTTTTTAGGAGCTTCCTTGAAGGTAGGGACTATACCTTGTATTTCTTGGTTTCTTTTTTTTAAAGTTTTTCAGAGAGACAGAGTCTTACTCTGTTGCCCAGGCTGGTCTCGAACTCCTGAGCTCAGGTGATCTTCCTGCCTTGGCTTCCCGAAGTGCTGGGATTACAGGCATGAACCACTGTGATCCTCCTTGTTTCTTAGTATCTTCTAAAGTACACTGAATATAGTAGGTGCCTAGTAAATTATGTGTTGATTTAACTTCTTTGAGGTTCTGTTGTTTGTGAAGAATTATAAAAGCAATACAAATGTTTGTGTAGTAATTAAGCAACAGGTTAATATTCATGAATTAAAAGATTAAAGAAATAAACAAAACATATTAGCTGGCAACTCACAGAAAAAGAATTAAATTGCCAATGAGCACACGAGCACATGAAAAAGTAGCAAATGTATGTAAGTTTCACCCCCTTACATATATTTGGTTAAAAATGAGAGAAGAATGGTAATAGCTGGTATTAGTAGGACTGTGGCAGGCACACAATTTACATAATCACCAAAAGTGTATGCAAGTATCTATGTCACCACACCCTGGTCTCATCTTCATTCAGTTTTATTTTTATTTTTTTAATCTCGGCCGATTTGATTGGCACGAAATGAATGATAGCTGCCTTATTTGGAATTCCTTTGATTACTACTAGTGTGCTTGACAATGTAAAACAA